ATATCACAGTACAGTGTGAGGACAAATTCATCGCCAGAGTCTTAATAGATAGGGTTCAAGCCTCAACATTTGTCCATTGATTACTCTAAAAAGGTTGGGCAAAGATTTCCATGAGATTCGAGCAGGAAGTATGAACATGAAAGCATTTGATGGATCTCAAAGGGCCACAATTGGAGAGATTAACCTTTATCTGCAAATGGCACCAACTTGGTTCGATATTGAATTCCAAGTGCTAGACATATTAGCTACATATAACCTTTTATTGGGGGTGACCTTGGATACATACCGCTGAGGCTGTGGCTTCCACACTACACCAGGCTATGAAATTCGAATAGAACCGTCATGAGGTAATCATTCACAGAGATGGAAGTAACCCCATTTACACCAGTCAAACACATTCCGATTGTTGAGAATAAAAGAAATCTAGGTGGGGAGACTTACCACCATATTGAACATGTCAACGCAATAGAGAAGAACAAGTGGTGGAGTAACAAAATAGAAAGCATATTGGCATGGTCTGGGTATGAACCCAACAAAGGGCTTGGGAAGAAACTCCAGGGCATTACCAAACCGATACAGTTGAAATGTCACGTCACAACTTTTGGGATGGGGTATACGTACACCTAGCAAGAATATAATGATTGGTCTCCACCATAGCGCGGTCCTTATTACCCTCTCGAGCAGCTAGTGCCATATCTGAGTCAGACTTTTCACCAGGCCGATACAATATGGAGATCTGCAGAGGAAGAAGCTTTGGCTGGGTTGAGAAATTTTTTCCTAGAAGACGAGAATATGTATTGTAATGTGATAGTTGATGAGGAGGAGGAAGAAGGCCTCACTATTCAGACCGTAGAAGGGAGCTATTCTCAAAAATTGGACTGCTACACCATCCCGGGCCAGCCGAGTTCCTAGGCACCTTGGCAATTAGCCTGACTTGTTTTAATAGCCATGCTAGGCATTTAAGATATTTTTAATAATTTTATTTTCAAAGACTCATTTTGTTTCGAAATAATTGCTCAAGTCATCGAGTTGTACCTGTTTTGGATATTTTCAAATTTAATTAATGCATTGCTATTTAGTATTTATTATTATCTATTACATTTTTCTCTATAACATTATTATTTCTTTTCCTGATGAATCGATGACCGTGACATGTAATGAGACAACGCGATATAAGGATAGTGATTCATAAGAAGAGGTTGAAATACCTGAGGAAGTTGTCATAGAAGTTTAGATTTTTGAGAACAAATCTAAGTCCATTGTGGACGAAACTGAGGCAATCAATTTGGGAGATTCCGGAACCGTCAAAGAAACTCGTATAAGCATTCCCTTATCACCATCACAGAAGGAAGAATACACTCGTTTCCTGAACGAATATGAGGATATTTTGCATAGTTGTATGATGATATGACCGGTCTGAGCACATCTATAGTGGCTCATAAGTTGCCCATCAATCCAATGTGTCTGTCGGTGAAGCAGAAACTCAGAAAGTTCAAACTAGACATGAGCTTAAAAATCAAGGAAGAATTCACTAAGCAGATCAAAGCCAAAATCCTCAGGGTGGTTGAGTACCCAACCTGGTTAGCCAACATTTTACCGGTTCCAAAGAAAGATGGGAAAGTCAGGGTGTGTGTTAACTATCCGAATTTAAACAAAGCAAGTCCCAAGGACAGTTTTCCACTGCCAAATATCCACATTCTTATCGACAATTGCGCCAAGCATGAACTCCAGTCCTTTATAGATTGTTTCGCGGGTTATCATCAGATATGGATGGATGATGCACAGAGAAAACAACCTTCATTACAGTGTGGGGAGTGTACTGCTACAAAATGACGCCATCGGTCTAAAGAATGATGGGGCTACCTACATGAGAGCTATGACGACAATCTTCCATGATATGATACACAAGGAAATAGAGGTGTACGTTGGCGATGACATCATCAAATCCATGAGGATTGCAGATCACATAGCAGACTTGATTTCTTTAACAGGCAAAGGATACAAACTAATAGATATCATGCCTATACGAAATATAAAAATTATTTTCTTGCAATTTAGATATCGTGCCTATAGGAGATATAAAAATCAGTTTCTGCATTTTAGATATCATGCCCATTGGAGATATTTAAAATCAGTTTTCTGTAATTTAGATATCATGTCTAAAGGATATAAAAAACAGTTTAACAATTTTAGATACCATGCTTGTAGGAACCTGCTCTGGTCCTAACTTAGGCAAGCGTGTAGGGTAATTAAGAATTCTGGGTCTAGAAACTGTGAATTTTTTTGCCGCTTGGAACATGCCCAGATTCAGAATATTTACAAAATCAGTAGAAAAATTAATAGGTACTGCTGCCCACTTTGATAAAGTTGTTATGTTATATTCTGTTATACTCATCTAGATATCCTTCCTATAGGGTCTTAATTGATCAAATTCTCTGTTTGGATTGCGTGCATTTGTTGTTTACTTGTGGAGGTTAACATGAGCCTTTATTTTCTTTTTACGTGATAGTCCTATCTGAACTTTTGGTTATAACTTAGCTTTTTCTCATTTTAAGCAACATATGTAAGCCTAGAACTATCCAAAGTAGAGGTCCTAAACACCTCCAGGACCCATAGGTAAGGGACGGGTAGTGCACACATATGGTACGCATTAGAAGCTACTAGAACGCTTAGGTAACAACTGAAAGATAGTAATGGGGTAGTAAAGGAGATAATGACATGTGCGCTAATGCTATGCCTAACACCCCAATTTGGGGAAAGTTACCAAGTATTGCATGGAAATGATCCTATATGCTAAAAACGTAGGACCCCTTTAATTCTTGTTTTAAGGAAATTATCTATTTGTTTTAAATTGTTTAACTTTCCTTAACACTAATTCGCTTAATTGAGTTTGGCCATGACCCACAGTTGTAGACCTCGAGGGGTGCCTAACACCTTCCACTCAAGTTTATTTCGAGCCCTTACCCGATCTCTGGTGATGTAAACTGGTTTCATGAGTTATTTGTTCTAGGTGCCCTAACGCACCTTAATCCGTTAGGTGGCGACTCTTCAAATACCTTACCCAATCCCAAAAGGAAAGGATTTTTCCCGAAAATTTCGAAACCCGGACTCCGCAAGGAAAAAGGAGGCGCGACTTCGGGACCATGGCACGAGAACCCTGATGCTGAGAACTACTCGATGCACGAGGACATAATCTAAAATGTGCCTCAGATCACCATAAGTATAACAGGATCTCCGCTGTTGTGACTGCTGGCCATGAAACTGACACTGTCGACTTGAGTAACCACCCTGAAAACTCTGGAGCGGAGGTGCACTAATAGGAGCTGGTGGTGCACTATAGGCTAGCTAGTCAGAATATTGCATATGAGGGCCACGACCACCTCAGACACCATGGGATGCCTGGAGTGCTGAATGAAATTGCCTGGGAGGATGGCCTCTACCAAAAGTACCCCAGTCTCCAGATGAGGCACTACTAAATCCACTGGAGTGATGAGGCCTCTTGTCAGACCCCTTACCACTCCCCTGAGCTAGAACCATCTCGACTCGCCTGGAAACATTGGTAGTCGTCTAAAAAGAAATCTCAATCCCAATCTCCTTGGCCATATGCAACCTGATAGGTTGCGCAAACCCCTCAATAAACCTCCTCACCCTCTCTTTCTCGGTAGGAAGCAGAAGAATAGCATGACAGGCCAGATCTACAAAAGGGTCTCATACTGAGTGACGGTAATACTTCCCTGCTGGAGATGCTCGAGCTGCCTTTGATAATCCTCTCTTAGTGTGACACGAAGTAACTTCTCAAGAAATATCTGAGAGAACTGGTCCCAAGTAAGAGAAGGTGACCCAGCTAGTATGGTTAATACAAAATCATTCCACCATTTCTTGGCAGGACCCATCATCTAAAATACAGCAAAATCGACCCCATTGGTCTCCACTATCCCCATGTTCCGTAGCACCTCATGGCAGCGGCCAATATAATCCTGTGGGTCTTCTAAAGGTGTACCACTGTAGTGAATTGTAAAGAGCTTGGTGAACTTTTCCAACCTCAATAAGCTCTCAGAAGACATAGCTGATTCACCACATGCCTGTATGGCAACAATTGCCTATACTACCCTAACTGTCTGAGCTACTGGAGTCTGATACTAGGGAGCCATCTACTCCGGGGTGTGAGCAGCAGGAGTCTGTGCTCCTCCTCCAGCCTAAGAGACGGCTGGTGCCATGGGAAAAGTGCCAATCTGGGCCACACTCTCCATAAGGCCCACCAAACAGACCAAGGCTTCCTAAAGCACTGGGTGGCAATGAACCCCTCTAGGACCTGAGCTGGTCCCGCAGGAAACGTCAGGGCTAGAACCTCCTCGTCAAACTTTACCCAAGGCTCCACTTCTGGCGCTGCTGCTCGAGCTCTAGGATGAGCCTTGCCCCTGCCTCGGCCTCAACCTCTGCCCGTCGTAGGAGCTGCCACTAGGGGCTCTGGCTGCTGCTTAGTTGAGGATGGGGTACGTGTTCTTTGCATCTACGAGAGAACAAGAGTAAAAGTGTTCAATTAGTAATGAGAGAACAATATCGCACGACAGAGAAGAATTAAAGTGAAATTTGTTCCTAACTTCGTAGCTTCTGGAAGATAAGTACAGACGTCTCCGTATCGATCCTCCAGACTCTACTAAGCCTGCTCGCGAATTGTGAGACCTAAGTAACCTCGTGCTCTGATACCAACTTTCACGACACGAAATTCCCACCTTCGGGACCGTGATGGTGCCTAACATTTCCCTAATGTTAGAGAACTGTTAAGTCAATTTCATTCAATTTCAATAAACAAAGTCAATTGAGCTTTATATAAGATAAAACCAGTTGCGGAATAACATAAATTATCCAAAAGATATTACAGTGCAGATCTGGAGTCACAACTCACGAGCTTCTAGATTTTTACTACAAATAGGATCTGAAAGAAACACAACTCTTTGAGAGAAAAGAAACAGTGAAATAAGAAAGCATAGGAGGGGACTTCAAAGTCTGTGGACGCCAGCATATCTACCTCGAGTCTCCGAATAAGAAGATGCAAGCTGCTTAAACTCACGGACAGCTAGGGCCGGTTCCAAAATCTACACAAGAAGTGCATAGTGTAGTATGAGTACAACCGACCCCATGTACTCGTATGTGTCGAGCCTAACCTCGACGAAGTAGTGACGAGGCTATGACAACACACCGGCCTAACAAACCTGCGCAGATAACAATATATGTAAAAAGTAACAGCAAATAGAAGCTAGACAAGTAATATCGGGAGGGGGACATGCTGAGGGGAATACAAGATAAGAGAATCACAGTAGTAATTATAACCAGAGCAGCCAATATGCCTTGAACCAATGAAAACAATTAAACACAATAAAGACAAGTGCATGACATAACCCTTTGTGCTTTTACTCTCAACCTCACCATATAAACCAATAGAATCGGCACGCCATCACCCTTCGTGCATTAAGCATCATAACATGGCACGACATGATCTATAGTGCATTAACACTCACAATATGGTACGGCATCACCCTTCGTGAATTAACACTCACAATATGGTACGGCATCACCCTTCGTGTATTAACACTCTCCATTAGCATAAAGTAATGAACAAATAACAACAAGGAGATAGAATAACAAGAACAAGCCTTACTTCAACATTTGGTTCCACAATACCAACCTCAACTTTGAAGTCAATACTCAATTATCACCAAAAATTCCTAAACATGATAAGAACAATCAATTTAACAATACTAGTCTAAACATAGATATTATGGTCAAAGAAAGTAATAATTACAAGAAACCAAGTCTAATCGCATGCTTTATCCCGACAACAACGCATAATTACTCGTCACCTCACATATACGTTGTACCCATCATCTAAACATGTAGCAAATAGACAAACAAGTCCTATTCGCTCAAGTCAAGGTTAACCACGGTACTGACCTTGCTCGAAAGAGCAAACTTAAAGCTCAACCACGACTTTTCCATTCAAACAAGTCTCCGAACCAATAGAATCTAGCAAATTACCAACCAAACGATTCAAATTAAGCCTTAGGAACTGCACACGATTGTAAAGAATTTAATTAAGATCATTTTTAAAAAAGTCAATAAAAGTCAACAACTGGGTTTGCTTGGACCAAACCCAAAATTCGGACCAAAACCCGGTTACACATTCACCCCGAGCAAGGTTATATAATTTATTTTGGAATCCGACCTAAATTTGAGGTCTAAATTCCATTTTTAAAATTCCCTAATTCTACCCAAAACCCTTAATTTCCACTATAAAAACTTTAGATTTTTGGTTGAAATCTTAGGAAAAGTAGTGAAAGATTGAAAGAAACTAGTTTAGAATCAGTTACCAATGATATGGGGAAAAAGTGCCCTTTGAAAAATCGCCTCTAGGTTTCTAAGTTTGAAAACTTGAAGAATGAACCAAAAATCCCGTCTAAGTCGAGTTTTGATAAATTGCACGTGTCGCATTTGCGACCTGGGTTTCGTAAATGCGAGCCCCGCAAATGCGAAGAACCTATCTCAAATGTGAAGGTTTCATATGCCTGCTTTCACCGCATTTGCGACGAATAGTTTGCAAATATGAACTCTGATCCTTCCGCAAATGCGACCCATTGATCGCATTTGCGATCACTGCTTGCCCAGCCCCCACTTTGCAAATGCGAAGCGTTGTCCGCAATTGCGAACACTGGCTCTCCGAAAATGCAAATTCTTTATCGTAAATGGGAACTAAGGCAGGCCCAGGTACTCTTCGCAAATGCAAAGAATAGATCGCAAATGCTAACCCCTCAGAGGTCGCAAATGCAATGGCTGATCTCGCAAATACGAGATCAGAATCCTGCACTAGAACTGAAACACCAACAACATTTGTAAGTCCAATTTTCACTCCGTAGACTATTCGAAACTCACCCGAGCCCTAGGGGCTCTAAACCAAGAGTGCACACAAGTCTAAAAATACCATACGAACTTGCTCGCGATATCAAATCGTCAAATAATACCTAGAACTACAAATTGAACACCAAATCAAATGAAATTTTCAAGAAAACTTTGAAACTTCTATTTTCACAACCGGACGTCCAAATCACGTCAAACCAACTCCGTTTCTCACCAAATTTCACATACAAGTCATAAATATAATATTAGACCTTACCAGGTTCTGCAACCAAAATACGGATCCGATATCTATGAAGTCAAACATGCTCAAATATTTCAAAATTATTAAGCCTTTAACTTTCAAATTTTGATTCCGAACATACGCTCAAGTCCCAAATCATGATACGGATCTAGCAGGACCGTCAAAATACGAATCCGGGTCCGTTTACTCAAAACATTGACCGAAGTCAGCTCAAATGATTTTTCAAGCAAAATTTTTATCATTTTATCCGTTTTTATCATAAAAGCTTTCCGAAAATATGCTCGGACTGCGCATGCAAATTGAGGAGGGATAAAATGAGGTCTTTAAAGCTTCAAAGAGTAGAATTGGGTTCTAAGACATAAGATGACCTTTTGGGTCATCACAGATGGATATATTTCGGGATTATGGGATTAGTATCTTTCTTTTTGCGATTTCTTATATTCAAACTAATCACTACTTGTAGCTATAGTTGCCATTAGATATTCCAACATAGTAACTGGTGCAGGGTAGCTGAAACTGAGGTAACCTTTGCCTTCAGCTGCTAAATTCTTGAATACTCATTGAGTAAACAGTTAGGTATCCCAACACTTTAAGAAGTACGGCATAATCCCTGTGAGTGTACATATATCTAACACTTTTATGGCACGAATAACGTTTTCCTTTATTTATTTATTTTTGGCTGTGTTCTCTAGTCTCTCTGTCTCGACAGTAAATGTGGTTGTCTGTTAAAATTAGATATCTATTTAGTTCATTATGGGAATAATCCAAAAGCAATTTACTTGTTAATTATTTAATCAGTTTTAAACTTGATTTATTTATTTATTTTGGTAAACGGATATCATTTAATCTTTTTAGTAACTGGGTTGTAGAGCATAAACATGTCTTTGAGAAATTAAACTAAAGCTCTAAAACATGACTTACAATAAATTGGGGAACAAATTATTTATTTGGTCCGATGGACTGAAGCAAAACCGTGCAACCAACAATAGATGATCTTATTCTTTGGGCATTTTCTTGGTGTTCTTCAAAGATCCAAATGAATACACATGCATAAACCAAGTGAGAAAGAGATGAAGAATATAATTGTGTAGGCCGTGCTAACGACATTTCACCATTTCAAGCAAAAATCAAAGTTCTTCATCGTTTCTATGATTTGTTGCAACTAATATAAATCTTTTTGTTTCACTACATTTAATCCATGTGATTCAGTCATATCAAAATCTTTTGGATTAGTTCCATATGGGAGTTCTCATTCAAAATGTGGAGTAACTGTGTCAATGGAAGTCCAACATTAGCTAAACCAAATTGCATTCATGGGCAAGTCCTTCTTCCTGCACCAAATGGAATAGACTCAAAGTGATTTATAATCAATAGAAGAGTCCTGAAATCTCTCTGGTATAAAACTTTTAGGATCATTCCAACTTTCAGGATCTCTCCTAAGTGCCCATGCATTGACTAGCACTCTAGTCTTAAGAGGTATGGTATATCCATCAACATATGTTTGCTCCCTACATTGTCTGGGCAGACGAGGAAATGGAGTATAAAACCTTAATAACTCCTTAATCACTAAGTCTAGATATGTCAACTTTTCAAGATTTTTTTCATCATTTCTTTTTCCCTTAAAGACTTGTTTCACTTCACTTTGAGCCTCATCATTTCCGACAATTCCCAAATAATTGTTGTAGATGAAGTTTCACTTCTAGCAATAAAGATGTCCTACAATCAACAAAAAAAAAAAAAAAAAAAAAAAAAAAAAAAAAAAAAAAAAAGTCAATAAAACACAACTCAATAAAATTTGGGTACTAAAATAATAAAGAGAAATCTTAAAGGGGTCTAGAGCTATAAACTTCTAACTTTGAGTATGTATGAATTAGTGGGTCGTGACCTATACAACTTTATATTTTTCCCTCAGGCAAGTAATTTGGTGCAACTATCTTGTGCTTTTAGGAACTACTAGTAAAAATTAGAAGAGATCAAACCTCATTATATTGTTAGGAATAACTCTTAGTAAGGACTACAAAGAAAGTGTAAATGGGAAGGCTGCAGGGTGAACAAAGATTATGAGATCGGAGCAAACTTACAAAAATCACTGCTTTAATGTGGTTATTTGTTATTGAAAATTTTAGTTCGGTGTTCTCTTTAATTCTTAGAAAAACATCAACCAAATCTTCACCTCCAAACTCGCCGTTTCACTTGTTCCCAGCTGATTTATTTTCAATATGCGCGTTTAGATATCCTCCATAATTTCATCAACCTTCTGATGTGCATTCACCAATCTAGATCTCACACTGCTCATTTTTTGAAGTAACTTCAAGAAGGGATCAAATCAGCCACATAATTCATATCCACAATAAAAGAAATTCGTTTACTTCCTTCATCAATTTCATAAACTCGTCTCGATCTTTGAACATATTTCCGAAGGCTGCTTTACAAGTGATAGAGTTGGTAAACCAAAATATTTTATCTGTCATGTTGACTGGAGATCCCTTCATTGACCGAATTAATGAAATCAGGCTTGAAAGTTCATCTTGTCGAATTTCTCTAAATGATTTGACCATCTTCATACTAAGAATTTCTACAATGCAAATTTTACGCATTTGTCTCCGGTAGTTACCATATTGGCTAAATGCAATGTCATTATTGTTGTAAAACATAATGTTTGAGGATGTAAGTTGTGCCCTATTAGCAAAGGCGGGATCGTGAGTATTTAGAACTTGTTTCGCGATACTAGGTGATGATATGACTACAGTAGAAACTTGCCCAAGTTGCAAGTAGATAAGAGGTGTAACGACCCGTCCGGTCGTTTTGAAAGTTGTAGCTTTGTTCTCCATTTACTGCACATCTTATGCTTAATAGTTACTATATGAATTGTCAGGACAGTTGGTTCGGTTCCGGGGATGTTTCGGAATGAATTGAGACACTTAGTCTCAAGGTTTGGAGCTTGAGTTGAAAAGGTTGACAAGCTATTGACTTATGTGCAAACGATTCTGAAATAGAGTTTTGATAGTTCTGTTAACTCTGTTGGATGATTTTGGACTTAGGAGTGCGTCCGGATAGTGATTTTGAGGTTCGTAGTTGAATTAGGCTTGAAATGGTGAAAGTTGGAAATTTAGAAGTTTGACTGAGAGTTGACATTGTGGTTATAGGCTCAGACTGGGGTTCTGGGAGTTGGAATAGGTATGTTGTGTTATTTGTGAATTGTGTGTAAAATTTGAGGTCAATCGGACGTGATTTGATAGATTTCGGCATTGAATGAAGAAGTTAGAAGTTCACAGGTTCATTAGCCTTGAATCGATGCGCGATTCGTTGTTTTAGCATTGTTTGATATGATTTGAAGGCTTGACGAAGTTCGTATCATGTTTTAGGACTTGTTAGTGTGTTTGGTTGAGGTCCGGGGGGCCTCGGGTGGATTTTGGATAGTTAACGAGTCAAATTTTGGACTTGGAGATTTGCTGGAATTTTCTAGTGCACTAATTTGGTTTCCTTATACGTGATCGCGTGGGAAGGTCCATGATCGCGCAAGGCTTAATTGGGCAGTGGAGGTCTTTGTTCTACGCATTCGCGAGATGGCGATTGCAATCGCGTACTTGTGTAATGCAGTGAATCGCAAATGCGCGGCCAAGGTCTTGTTCGCGTAGAGTATAGGAGGCAGCAGCTGAGGTCACGCATTGGTTCTTCGTGATCACATGAAGAGGGCCGCTATCGTGTAGGTCGAAGAATCAGTTCTTTACGTTCTAATGGGGATTGACGTGTTCACGTAGGGTTAAATTTCTAGGTAGTGGAGTTGTGCTTAGCGATCGCGAGGCAATTTCCACGATCGCGATTAAGGATATGTGGGAAGAGTTGAATATTTCAAAAATGAGGGTTTGAGTTTATATCAAAAATTTATTTTGGGAGCTCGGTTGGAGGCGATTGTTGGAGAGATTTTTAAGGGAGTGTTGGGGTAAGTGATTCTTACTTAATTTTGGTTAAATTCCAAGATTATATCTTAGATTTTATCACTTAATTAGTGATGTGGGTTGAAAATAAATTGGGGAAAAATAGAGGAAAAGTCCTTATGCTAAATTTTGGGGATTTGAGCGAGATTTTGGCATCAGATTTGAGTAATTTTGGTGTAGTTGGACTCGTGGTTGAATGAGTGTTCAGATTTTGTAACTTTATCGGATTATGAGATGTGGGCCCGGGGGTTAACTTTTGAGTTGCCTTTTTGACTTTTGATTAAGAACTTAGCATTTTTATATGGATTTCATTGCTATAGCTTGAGTTGATCGTATCGAATTGTTTGCGGCTAGATTCGATGCATTTGAAGGCCGTTTCGCAAGGCAAGGTTTTGTTGGAGTAGAGTTTTGCACAGTTTGAGGTAAGTAATGCTTCTAAACTTGGTTTTGAGGGTGTAAAACCCTGGATTACGTATTATGTGGTTGGTATTGAGGTGGCGGGCGTGTAGGCGTGCACCATGTGAATTGTGGCTTGGTCCATTCTATAGAACTGTATAGTTGATTAATCTTGTCGTTACCCATATGTTCACCATGTGTTGGAGAAATTGAGCTGCCAACCATGTCAGAAATCATGCTTAGGCTACGTGTTGGTACTGTTTGTGTCACGATCCAAACCGATGGGCCGTGACGGGTGCCTGAGTCCTACCTGTCAAACACCCCTAAGCATGCATTTAAGATATGAACCTGAATAAGATCTGTTGCATTACGAAAATGACATATGTGGAAGAAACCTTCTATCAAGGCATATGTACGTATACATGCAGAATACAGTGGGCAAGCCGGCAAGGCTGCTATAGATAATTATACGTCCAAAACTGAAAGCCGACAAGGCCACATACAACCCAACTAGACATACTGTCCACAGACCTCTAACAGAAACATAATTGTACAAAGACGGGACTGAGCCACGTCAAACCCATATATACAAATGTATTGTACAAAAATCAAAAGCAGCTCTGGATTAAATGGAGCACGCCAAATCTCTCTATTCAGGGATCCTAAGAAGAGGGACCGTCATCTTGCCTACCTGCACCTGCGTGCATGAAATGCAAGCCTCGTGAAATAGGGCGTCAGTATGAAAAATATACTAAGTATGTAAGGCATGACAATTAGTATGTAGAAGACATAGATGAAACATGGAATATAGAAACACATCTTTAAATCTGAATAAGTTTGTAAATTCTAAAACATTTATAATGTCATGCATGTGCGTGTAAATGTCATGCCATGCACAGGTATGGGTGTACATAATATCATCAAGCCACTGAGGGCATCCCATCATATCGTCTGGGCCACTATGGGCAACATCATCAACATATACCAGCTAATCAGGTAGTGATGCGTATATAACACCGTAACCTTTTCCCATATCCCATATACATATATTTATATATATATATATATACGTATATATAACGCCACCTGGTCATGGGTCAATGCACATGTATGAAATGCATGAAAAATACGTAGTAATCTCAATATTCCTTCCGTATAAACTTTTCCAAATGAGAATTATTTTGAGACCCATGAATAAAAAGTAATAATAATTTTCATAGGGAATCAAGAATATAGACACCCCTAATAATTCTATGAATAGAGTAATTTATAGAAACTATGTGTTTACTCGTTTCTTCAGTATAATTTTGACCATGCCAAAAGAAAGAAGGGAGGACCTTAACATACATGTTCCCAAAATTATTCGAACGAATCTGCTTCTGCGAAAAATGGACGAAATTCTGCTTGAAATTCTTGAAATTCAGAAACAAAATTGGTAGATCATTGAAATTGAAACGTTGGCTAAAGATGGAATTGATGAACGAAAATGATCCTGTTCTGTTCTGAAACATTTTTTTTAAAGACAAGGTGTCTTTGAAATCTTTCCAAGAATCAGACTTTTAAACCAAATTGATTACTAATCTTTTGTACAAAAAGGAATCCAACATTCATAAGTCTTTACTTAAGACTTACCTTTAACTTTACACGTTCTTGTCTTTGTGGATAAGACTTTACAAGTCTTATTTAAGACTTATCTTCAAGAAACTTATACATGAATCATCCTTCCTAATTAGTGGCCTTGTGCCACGTGGGAGGGTGGTATAATTTATAATTTTTATCCACTTATTAGTTAACTGGGTAATGTTCTATTACCCGATAATTAATCAATTACCTGCATAATTTAAAAATTATCCCAAATTACTTAAAATTTTATTTATTTATAAAATACTTCATATATACTTTATATATATACTACTATGGTCATATGATACCTTGCATGATATTAGTTCATAATTATCGAGTATTATCACTCGACCCATATTTTATTCCAAATTGGCCACTTTCAACGAAACTCGTTTTCTTTAATCCGCGTACCCCTTTATCCTTCATAATACTTATTTATCGCTTGTTATAAAAAGCATAAGTACATTAACGTCAAGATGATCTCATCCCCGAGTCTACGCGGTTAACTGAAAATGAAACTTTAATGTATGAAAATCACGAGATGTAACATCCTTCCCCCTTTAGAAATATTCGTCCTCAAATGTTCAACTCTCTGTGTTCTGTATAACTTTGGCAGGGTCACCTTTGTAACAACACCACTAGCAATTCTCCTCATAGAAGTTTAATAACCCAACACCACACAGGACCATAATAATGAATAATGACTATGGCCTCACATGACCAACGACAATAGCCAATAAGAGAATTTGTACACGTACCTTATGATTATGACGTCTCAGACGGATCCTTATCTAGAGGAGGAAATAAGTAGGGATATCTAGACTTCATGTTTTCCTCGGCCTCCCAAGTCATTTCTTCCACATTGTTGGTTCTCCAAAGTACTTTCACGGAGGCTACCTCTTTATTCTGCAGCTTGCGGATTTGTCGATCTGGGATGGCAACCGGAACTTTCTCGTATGATAAATCTTCTATAATCCGTACATCATTCGTGGGCACCACTCGGGTAGGATCGGCGATGCACTTTCGTAACATAGATACATGAAAGATTGGATGGACAGACTCCAACTCCGAGGGCAATTCTAACTCATAAGCTACTTGGCCCACTTTTCGAATGATCCTATAAGGACCAATATACCGTGGGCTAAGTTTGCCTTTCTTGCCAAACCTCATCACACCCTTCATAGGTGACACCTTTAAGAATACCTAATCATCAACCCCGAACTCTAAATCTCGACGTCGCATGTCAGAATATGACTTCTAACGACTTTTAGCTGTCAATAGTCGATCCAGAATCAACTTTACTTTCTCTATGGCTTGTTGAACCAGGTCTGGACCATGTAATCCAGATTCTCCAATGTCGAACCACCCTAAAGGCGACCTACACTTTCATCCATAAAGAGCTTCATATGGAGCCATCTGAATGGTGGAATGGTAATTATTATTATATGCGAACTCAATAAGCGGCAGATGATCATCCCAGCTACCTTTGAAGTCTATTACACAAACTCCTAACATATCCTCCAGTGTCTGAATAGTACGTTCAGCCTGTCCATCTGTCTAGGGATGAAATTTTGTACTAAGACTTACTTGAGTCCCCAATCCTTTTTGAAAGGACCTCCAGAAGTTACAGGGATACAGGGACACCATATCCAAGAAAATAGATACAGGGACACCATGCAGTCGTACTATCTCCTTAATATAATGCATTGCATAATCCTCTGAGGAATATGTAGTTCTAACGGGCAGAAAATAGGCTAACTTTGTGAGCCTACCAACAATCACTCATATCGAGTCGAACTTACGCTGGGTACGAGGTAAGCCTACGATGAAGTCCATATTGATTACTTCCCATTTCCAAGTCGGAATCTCCATAG